ATCGATAACATTCAGCATCGACACTTTTAATAAGTTCTTCCCCATGCCTCAGTTAATTATTAGAGTCTAATCGTATATCAAGTCATATCCCAGGCCCACAATAATTTCAGCCGGGGATATCGTTTTCGCTAAGGTATTTGTCCGACAAATATGAACTGATTTGCTCCACATCGAATACAAGTTCCAATGATCGTAACTCAACCATTACGTGTTTTAACCCGCGTTGGATTTGCGGTATGAATATTCATCTATTATTGTACAAAATATGAAGGTATAATTGTTATATACAACAATTGAGATTTAAAATAGCATCGTGAAAATATAACCTTATTTATCCTTCGTTGACTTCTCAGCTCAGGCAATGGTGACATGTTCAGTTTTGCCATTGATTATTGGCTCAGCCGTGTCCAGGAAAACCCAACAGAATTTGATCGTGAGAATGTTAACATGGAATCATATCTATGTGATTGTGCCCTCAGTGTACCGCTTGCCAGGTTATGATGTACTCATGAATCTATGTGATTGCGCCGTCGGTGTACCGACGGCCAGGCTATGATGTACTAAAGAATCTTACGGAAAAGCCTACGTCATCGTCGAGAAGCAAACTTCAATCATTGATCAAATTTGCGACCTTGACTAAGGTTAAGATTTCACTGGGAAGTTAAGCCTCTCATGGTCGCTAACGCGCCATTCACGACTTTGAACCAATTGTGAATAATTTGGTCCTATGCAATGATGAGATGTTTGAACACCAAGCCTCCTCGCGAAAATATTTTCCCGAGGCCGACATAAAAACATAGATGTGATATAACATGATATGAACACCTGCCTAAAGTGTCATCAGTAACATGTTAATGGTATTTTGTGGCCCTAATAAGCATGCCCTTGAAAACGGTTATCAGACTTGGTGTGCGACCAACCATTCGTGGGATACGTTTAAGATCATGATTGTGCGAGTCACAAGGGAAACTTATAATTTCCCTCTTTACAAACTTGAGTGAACTAACAGGGCCTGAGTATTCCGTGCGTCTGGTCATGAAAATTTAAACGACCATAATACATGCAATAGCAGAGTATGGGGAGCGATACCGCAAAGTTGACAGCGAACACCTGGAAATGAATCGTAATATTACAGCTGGCCGTAAACATGTGGAAGATATCTTACTGGACGTCAAAATCTTAAAGGGCTTCGAAAACAAACTTTACAGCGACCACACTCACACGTAAAAATGCAACGCAAGTGGCAGCGATAATAGGAACTGAAGAACAATCTGGTCAGGACATTCCAATCAAGAGGACATTGTGCTAATCCATGAAGACATCAGAGACGTTTTGAAGGAAATTGGTGCCAAAAATCCTGAGGAAAACTTCAGAGAGGTACTTTACATATTGTCCACTCTTCATATACGAATAAATGATGCATTCGCCACAGCAGTTACTTAATGAACCAGGTTGGCAGTGGATCTATGAAAATTCCATACGGTGGATATTCAGGGAGATGACATGGCGCATACAAGCCACTGTTAAGTTGTTGCAAGAGAATAATAAAATATGTGATGCATCCCACGCGGGAGATAATCACCAAAACAACGCAACGTTTGATGATTTTATGCGATGATTTTATGGGATGAGAAGAGGAGGAAAAGTCACAAGACGACGTCGCGCACGTCCATTCCGAACCTTAGACGAATTTCCATTGATACTATTTTCCCTACCTAAAGAGATTTCTGTAGAAATACAAGCAGAATCTTCCTATCAAAATGGGTTTTCACCAGAACATTTCTTACGATGTGTATCTGATCCTAAATGCCATTGGTGCCAATTTTATATAAATATAAATACCTGAATCTAACCATATTGGCATAGAACGTTTATATATTTTTTAAAAAAGTCTCAATTATGACTTGTTGTTCCAAAGTGAAAATAGTACCTATCCTACATCCACTATGTTTGCCAAATCACCTAATTTTGTAAATATAACTCAAGAAAATGAGAAACGGTTACAATGTTTGCCAGTTTAAAAGAAGAAATTATCTTATTTTAAATTCCTGTGAAATTCATTTGGGTCTTAAAACGTCAGTTCCTTAAAAGAATTCGTGCTCTTGACATAACTTCATGATAGACCTAGGAATTTACAGAAAGATTGGAAAGCTTGAACTGTTCACACAGTTGAAAAACTCCGTTTATATTCTATTTGTTCCGAAACAACATCTTTCTGAATTGTTCACGGGACTAACAAACGTTGTCTTTTTATGTTTTGTCATTATTCTCTTTGAGTATTGTTATGAAAACGTTGATGATATAGTCTCGATTATTGTATATAGGAAATTATGTATCTAGAATTTCATGCTTTTTTACTTTTAGTTATCTATCTAGAATTTCATGTCTTTTTTAACTGATATTACGAGAACCCTGCGAGTTTGCCAAGATGAGTTCATGTAGGATAACTACTTGATTGTTGTTATAAATACCGTAGTGTTAGGATTTCCATTATTTCTTTTGTGTAATGGGACTAGTCTGGAACTAATGTATCGGTGTGGTGTAGAAATAGCTATTATCATGAACCATTATATTTGTGAAACTATGTTTGTATGGTCTGTTATAGCCAGTTAGACTAGATAGCCGTGGTCTGTTTGAATTCCGATAGAATTATGTCTTATTTAAAGAGGGGTGAGAGTAATGATTTATCCCCAGTATAATGTGACTGAAGATTTAGGGTGCTCTGTGTTTATATTTTTGCAAGGTGACATAGCTACACGAAGACTCGCGTATTTACAAACTCAAAAAGAGATACACGAAGTTGGACGGATCGAAAGTGGCGTGATACAGGAGAATTTGGAAAAATAAGGGAAAAAGTGGAGAAGACCCAGACTTACCGGCACAAGAAAGTCAAAAGAGGCAATCAGTGTGGATTGGACTGAATCAAGTCATCAGGTTAAATCGATACAAGGCAGTGTTTCTCGATCTCTCACTCGATTCGATTTGATGTAATTATATCGTTTAACAGATCGTCTATTGGTATAATCATACTTGTATTTGAAATTCCTTGAATAAGTTACTTCAAAACGGAAGAGGTGTATCTTCTATCGTAACGCATTATTACTTTTGTTTATAAATTTTATTGTTATGAATTTGATTAAATTTTGTCCTTATTTGTAACGGGGGCTGTTGTTTATTATGTTCTTCATATCTGCTCAGATCTTTATTTATTCCACCCATAAAGTTCACACTTTATTTTGATATTTGCTCTTTCCGAACATTCACTTCTAGATAACGATAACCAAAACCAGGTAACTCACCACAGCAAAGTTGAAAAGGGTTTTCCGACTTAAGGTCTGACACGGCGTAACCTCAATTTCATCTTTTAATATACGGATAACGAAAGTGCTCACTAGTCATATAAAAACTATTGTATCTGCCTAGACGATGAAATTAACTCTCTGTGTGCATGTGTATGTGTGTGTGTGTATTTTTGTGTGTGAAAGTGGGTGGATGGGTGGGTGGGTGTGCTTATGGGATGAAGTTCGTACATGTATTTATACATTGGGATTACTGGTGAATGTTGTGGAAAATTCAGTCGTTGCTTTACAAGCAAAATTGCAAGTTTTGTTTCTTTGTCTATTTTTAAAAATAAAGAGATAAAATGTAGCAACTCAGTTCAAACCCTTAATACAACACATAAGTAAATCTGAGGTAGTTAACTGAATAAAATAAAATTGCAGCATAGTAATTCACAGACGCGCAAACCAAATGGAATTTGTAAAAGTTATTGCATTTTAGCTATTCTTGGTACAATGCTTTGCATTTCAGGGGCAGTTTTTCTTTCAGTTGAGAAATTAGTGACATTTAAAATTGTTTCCTGGGTTAGAACAATGTATATTTGACACAAGAAATATATTATTATACTTGATACAATAAATCCATTAACATCCTCAAACCGCAAAATACAACATTCTTGCCATCTGTTTGTTATCAGGATATCCTTTATTACACTGATGAGAGCATAGATCAAAATAGTTTTATAGTCATCGCGTGCTTTACATATAGTGCAAATTTAATCCAAAACACCTTAACCCCAATCCACCCGGTCGCAACCTTGACACCTAAAGTCCTGACCTCAAAGAAACGTATCAAAGATTTCAAACAATTACTGCAGTGGTACAGAACACGTCTGTTGTATTTGTGCTTAATATTCGCCGTAAAAAAGGAGGTTTAGGAGGTGTACTAAATCATGCAAACAAGTATGCATGTATGCACATTTTCGGTTAATGTCATAGGAAACTTGGTATTGTGCGGTCTAATTAATTTACAGACATTTTTGTAAGACAAACATTTTCGTCCATCCTACTTTAGAGTTCATGGTCACTCTTGTAGAAGACTTGTCTCAATGATGTCAATCAAGAATAGACTGTCTCTTGTCTCTCGAATGGGCAAAAACTGATAAAAGTTTTATTATTTGCCGATTCGCTATATGTATCCTTTTCATCGGATGACGTATCAACACAAAACTAACCATCCTTCATGTTAATGTGCGATACTGAATTTTATGTCAGCTTACAAACTGTTGTAAGACATAGTAGTTACAACTTCCGAATATACATTCTTACTCGCTTATAAAATGAGTCAGACTGCAAACAATGAAGATCCTGATCTGCTGTAATATAATGTGCCGAGGATCAGGATCTACGTTGTTTGTTCTATTGAATCTTTTGGTTTGTTTCGAGTCAGACATTTTTGTTTCCTTCGCCAGTCTTTGGAACCCATTCTACGCTCTTCAAGTCGTTCTAAAATACTGGCCACGCATGTTCAGTGCTGGATTCAACCCAGTGGAGGTCCCAAATCAGTCGAAATCGCGCCCACCCACCCCCTTTTCCTCGCAAATTATCTATTAATACGTTTTTAATTTTAACAGCCAACAATTTTAATCAACCAAGGTGTGAGACCAATAGGCCGATGCCTACTCTGCCTATTCGGTAATCTGGCACTATGCAAATTGAACCGCTTCGGTGGCATAGTGGTCAGATCGTCCACCTCAGATGCGGTAGGTCGCGGATTTGAACCACGGCCGAGGCATACCAAAGACTTGCAAAAATGGTACTAACAACTGCCTAGCTTGGCGCTCAGGATTAAGGGGTTAGTATCACCACTGGTCGACCTGGTGTCAGGGTAAATTGATTGGGTGGGACATCATGCCACATGTCTGCGGCATGATGCCCCAGTGCTAGACATCACTATAAACTGTCACACTGCAGACATCGTAGCGATATGACTGAAAAATTGTTAAAGCTAAGTTAAAAATCTAAATCACACACACACACAGACACACACTGCACAAGTTAAAAACTGACGCATCGTCATTGGCATAACATTATATTTATTGAAATTAATTGTAATTTTTATTATATGATAAACATTTCACGAAAATTGGGTGTAAATAGTTTTTAAGCTATAGACATTTCCGCTGGAATATGTTATATATTGACAGTCATCAAGGAGTAAGACATAATTGAACAAAAATGGACAAACTTTTAGTCCAGCTGCAATTATGTAATAGTTATGTAATACCTTATATAATCGCTTATAAATCGAGCAAAACTGCAAAGAACAAAGATCCTGATCTGCCGTCGCATAATGAGCATACAGATCAGGGTCTATGTTGCTTGTTCTACTGCTTACAACTAAACAAACTGCTCAGAACCTGATCTGCTCTCGCATTATGCTACATCAGATCCTTTTTTTTTTCAGTTTGCAGTTGACGTGTATACTCAAGAAATTCCAGAATCGGGCGCCCATTCATCCTTTCAATGGTCGATATGGATAATTCACCTGCAAGTTTGAGAGAATTTTTATAGCTGTCGTAAAGAGGATCGTAAACAGGACATTGTCGTGATTTTTAGGTTAATTAGGCTGAGACAGTTAAAATAAGGGACCAGCCATTTAATTAAAGAGAATGTACTATTTTCAACTAATAACAATTGACATAAATACTTTTTTTTCCAATAAACAGAGCAACATTTTATTTTTAAGCTAAAAGGTCATAAATTTGGTCTATAACTGCCCACCACCACCTCAAAAAATTAAATGGTTGGTCCCTAAGATATTTCTTCTGTGCGACTAGATACAATACAAGAATGCTGAAATGACAATCGATTTACTACAACTGCGCGGAAAGACTCAGCTGCGCTAAACATACTAAACAACTTATTCACATGTCTCGATTCTAACCTGTTAGGTACGATAAAGAATCTATTATCATACTTAGAAATAGGTCATAGCTATGTTGACTGGTTTTCGTGTAAGCGCAGGTCAAATAATTATATCCACTTCGCCCATGCAAAATTTTATAGGTTTTCAAACATTTAAATACTTGCTTGTGTTATAGTATCTAGTCCAAAAGAATGCTTATATTATATGTTTTCGGTGGCTGGAAATCTCATGATAAGTGACCGGTCATTAACAGCCAATTATATACGGTCAGGTGAAACTGGATTATGTGTGTGTCTTATCAGAAGCCCGTTAACTGGTAGGTCATGATGTAAAGTCACGTTCCTATAAAATGAAAAATTGAAATGTAGACTGTGCTAAATGTACATCAATATGCGTGTTGTATCGTGTGACAAGAGCTCCTCATTCAAGTTTGATATCAAAGTACAGGAAATTCACTAGCAAAAATATAAAAATAAAAAGAAACAAAATCAAAAGGACCAAAAACAAAACAATAAAACAAACATGAATATTGCCTTGAAAGCCAAACGTCAATATGGTATGAAATCAAAGAGCACTGAACGTATAAATTCCATATAGAGATCTATTCATTCCAATATTTAAGTTTTGAACTTGTAGTATCTATTAACACCCATCCAACCGCCACCCTGGAAAATCATCCTACAACTAGTATCTCTTTAGTGACTGTAAATGAGCAAATTTGTTCTGCCGATCTCATTTTTGTTGTTAATGATCTCTGAAGAAAAATATTTAGTTAGACACGTACACGATTAATTAGATTTATGGGACCTGCACACGTTTAAATAGCCATAATGCACAGATTGGTACATGCTCTGTCATGAGTTATTGATGCTTAATTAAGGGCTACGTTTGTTTTAACTTACCATGATTGATGTCAAATTCGGATCTATATGGAAACTATCATTTCTGAAGGATACTAGGAATTGTTTGATAATCTTTGTTTGTCAGATGAATTGTAGTGTAATCGAGGCTGAATTTTATTTCATCCCGATTTGACACACTGCGGAAGAAGACGTAGTTTCACCTGAAAACTATCAGTTTAAATGTGTTAAAAGCGAACTTAGATATCAGTCTACGCGTTTCTACAAGAGGAAACCAACGTAAGAATATAAGTGACTCCGAGTTAATTAATCTCATGAAATCATCAATGGAAGACGATGGTCTGCAGGAATTGACAGACACAAAAGTTTGAAGGCACAAGGTATTTTGCATCAAATTTATGTAATGCGTTGATACTATTATGATGATTTGTTTGATTTATTTGCTTTTATTGCATGGATTTATTTGTTTAAATTCATTGATCAATTTTCTTGATATGGTGTAACTGAGTTTAGTTCGTTTATCTGAGTCCGCACAATGATAGTGTTCTTTATATATGCATTGACTGCTCGCTTAAGGTATGGTCTCGACTATTCTAGGCATTTATGTATCTAGAATTTCATGTTTTTTCTTTATAGGAAATTATGAATCTAGAATTTCGTGCATTATTCTATATAGGAAATTACGTATTTAGAATAACTGTTGAATTCATTTATCTGAATTCGTACAATTATAATTTTTATTTATATATTGACGAATTGTTAAAATGTAGATATTACGAGAATCCGTGACCTACGGGCACAAGGAAGTCAAAAGGAACGGTTGATGTGGAATTTGCACTGAGATAAGACATCAGGTTATGAATCGATACAAGGCAGTGCTTTTTCTATCTTACACTTGATCTAATGATCTAATAATTCTATAGGGTAACAGGTTAGATATTGATATAATCATATTTGGTTTTGAAATTCTTTGACTAAGTTGATCCAAAAAGAAAGAAGTATATCTTTCAAAATTGTAACGTTTATCACACCTGTTTGTGAATTTTGTTGTCATGAATTTTGATTAAATTTTGTCTTTATTTGTAACGGGGGCTCGTGTTATTCTGTTCTCTTTATTTATTCCACCCATAAAGCATATTTTATATTTGATATATTACACCGTCGGCGATCATCTCTAGATAACGATGGTCAAATCTAAGTAACCCACCATAAGAAAGTTGAGGGGGGGGGGTGACGACAGTGACGTCACCATGCGCGAGCGCTAGCAATAACTCCAAATATACCTAATTTTGTGTAATTCTCACATGTTTAAACCACGTATTGAATCAATTTTTTTTAGTAACTCTAATAGACGCAACGCATTCTCTAAATAAAATGTCCATTTGCGAACACAATCATGTAAATCATGCCATAAATTTCCAAAAGTTGTTAGGTGGGGCGTTTTGCCCCCCCCCCCTCTACCCTACTAATTTAGATTTCGGTTACAAATATGCATATTTGACAATATTCTGGTTTCATCATTACTTGTCTACAAAAATCAATTTGTCTTCTGAGAGAGAGAGAGAGAGAGAGAGAGAGAGAGAGAGAGAGAGAGAGAGAGAGAGAGAGAGAGAGAGAGAGAGAGAGCAGTCCACGTGTTTCCAAAGATACAACGTGTTTGTAAAAAATGAACGTGTGATTTCCTATGTTCCTCCAAATCGTACAATTCCATCCTTACAGGTATTCAATCGCTTGTCTTATGACCCACAAAAAGGGACCCATTATTTAATTGTATGGGGTGGTAATTGGGAGGGGTTTTTTTTTCGAGACGGGATATTTTTCTTCTGTTTTATATCGAAATATTATTTGCTTCAAATGATGTATATAAATGATGAAAAAAAAGTCCAACCAATTTTACGTAACTCATAGTCTGAGTATATATGGTATCCCTCTTCAAAAGAGAGAGAGAGAGAGAGAGAGAGAGAGAGAGAGAGAGAGAGAGAGAGAGAGAGAGAGAGAGAGAGAGAGAGAGAGAGAGAGAGAGAGAGAGAGAGAGAGTATTAAAGTGCCGGTCCATCCATGAAAAGGTCAGACAAAGTGAAATTCCCGATGATAATGGATATACATATCAGATAAGGATAACACTCTATACGTCATAAATCATGTTGGCATCTTAATTGTCCGGGATACTTGAGAATATGTGGTATCGCCAACACAATATATTGATAATGTAGACAGTTCGGGGCCGGAGCGCCTTCCAACAAACCGAAACCCAAACCCAATCCCACCCACTGACACCTAAAAATGAGGGCGAAACAATCAGAATGAGAAAGTTTACTTTAAAGCTCCTAATTATTTACGCTCCTCAACACGATACTAAACCATATAATATAGTTGTGAATCATCCCTGCATTCTCGACTCGGGCGTTTTCTTGACAATGTATAACTGCGCCTCAAGTTTGAAAAATAAAAATACCGGAATTTATCAAGTTTTGCATAATATGTTTATGTTATGGTTAATGAGTCAAACTAATTTACCGCAATATAACTGCTATCTATATTTTTGACAGTATATGGTGGTACAAATTTATAACAGTTTATAACACTTGTTGCAAAATTGGCTCTGTATAGCGATGTTTTTATCCTTAATTTTCTATCCTCGATGAGTGTATTGCACAACAATGCGCATTATGGATAATGTGATAAATATAGAATGTAAATGTTATCGTAAATATAATATTACATTTTTTCCCGTGGCAATGCATGTCACTGGTAACTTGATGTATATCATAATATAATATTGACGCTGGACGTATTCCTGTCCAGCTATTTTAGTAATCGGTTATCATGACTCAGTCAATCACTTGCAAACACAAAAGCGTGTGTTATATTTTAAAAAAACATTGTCAATTAATATTGACACTGACGTTTACAGACGGACCACACGCCATTCCCCGTCAAGTCAGTCTGGTCCACTGTCGTAGCTAAAGAACATTGAAGATCCGATTTTAATCACGTTGCTTTCAA